CTTATTCCTGCCATAACCCCTTCCCTCCTTCCACATGCAAACTCATTCTGGACTCTATAGTTATCACATTCTCATGCTTCTTTGTTTTATCCAAATTTATTAAACTTTAATCACATCTCTATTTTTAAGCATCCTCATATTAACTGCAAACTTTCTGGCAAGATTTGCTTCAGTATCCTGTACATACACAAAATTAGACTATTTCATCTCCAGTGACATAGACTTTCACATAATTGAGGAACTATAACAATGTTCCAATAATTCTTTCCTACAGGTTATATGTATAATTCCTTTAAGCCAGTTCCCAAACAGATGTCATAAAAAATTACCCAGAGTGCTTGTTAAAAATACTATTCTTAGGTCTGTGTCCAAGTTAGCTGAATAAAATGAAATAAAATTAAAAAAAAAAAAACAAGATAGGAAAAGTTCATATATTTTTTTTTTGCCAACTCCCAATTTAATTATAAGTCACTTGTTCTATGATGGGTGGTGAAATCTGCATGGTACTAGGGATATCAGAGATGAAAATTATATTCATTTAGGAAACTAACTTGCCATCTTGTTATCATACCCTTATTTTTTCCTATTTTGTATTCTTCTTCTTACCTCCTTTCCTTTATTTTTATAATACTTAAGACAAAGTTATGCAGATGAAAAATAAATTACTAAAAATGTGAGTGGCAGAGAATATATTAACATGCTAAAAATTTGTAGAATATACTTTTGAAACTTTCCATCTTATTTCAGAGTATACATCAAAAATGTGCCTTCTTGAACAAATGCTGGAGAAAAAAAGAAAAGAAGAAAGGCAGGTCTTGTGAGGATGATCTGTGATGTCTTAGATGGAAGGGGTACCAATAGGAAAATCTTGCTCTCGTTTTCATTACCATTCATAGACATAAGTCCTTGGGACAGATATGCCTAAAATTTATAACAGTATCAGCAATAACATTGTTCATAAAACTTGCATTCCACTCACCAATCCTCTGCCTAATACCTTTCTTCAGAAAGAATCAAATGAAGCAAGCACACTAAACCAAGAGAGTGTAGCATCTGAGTCCTAAGTCCAGGGAGTTTTGATCAAGGAGAGCTCATGCTTCAAAGGGAATTGGGGGGGAAAATTAAGCAACATAAATAGAGGTAAAAGTTCATTAAATTTATTGACAGGGAAAATTCAGATGCCCAATAAAAGCAGTCTTAATATAGTAAAGAGGAAAATAACTACACTGGAAAGATGGATATGTGCATAGAATATGAAGATAGGTTGAAAGAATTCTGTGTGTACAAGTACTCTTAGGCTTGTCTGATCAAGTGGTGGGAGAGATAATCTTCTTGAATAAAGAACAAGACTTTTGTTTTTGCTTTTATTAATGTTGTCTATCTTTGTGGAGTAGAGAAAGTGTTTTTCTGCTTCAAGTGCAAGAAGGTTCCAGTATGGTGCTTTAGTAAGTAGAAGAAGGTTTGAAATTGTTACTGCACTGGATAGAGTCTTTAAACTATATGTAGTACAAAGTTGAAATTCTTATTTTCTACATTGTTGCCACAGAGAAAAAGACTAATTGGGTTAACATATGGAGCCCTTTCAATGCACTTAAGTAGAAATACAAAATGTTTTAAGACAACAAAATATTTAGCAAGGGAAATTCATGCCTAACATTGTTTTGTAATAATGAAATTCAAATGTTCAAACAAGTAAGCTGACAAGAAACTATAGTGTGGGCAGAAAATAAAATTATTAGTGATATGAGAGTAAAACCATATCCATAGTAATATGAGTATGATTAGGAAGAGGAGCAAGAAAACTTAAATGGAAGTAGTCAAGTTTCAAGATCTTGGCTGATTTACTGATTGTAATATCAAATTTTGGGTTGGGAGTGAAATTAAAAGTGAAGTACTGAGTCTTTCAAAAATTAAAGAGAGATAAAGTAACTATAGAGAGGAAGAATGTGATAGACTCAAGAAGTCAAGAGAAGAAAGAATGATTTTTCATCTATTTATATTTTGCTTATTTATTCATTGCTTTTATTTTATTATTTGATCATTTATTATTTTACTTATAAGCACTATAAACTGGTACTTGCCTTAATGAAATTGTGAGAAATTAAAGACTCACTTATTACTTAGCTCCATGATTTGAGAGAATTTAAAAGCTACCATTAAAAACTGATATTTTGTATTGATATCAGAGTGAAATGATATTTTCAGAAATGTCAGGATTCAGTTTAAGTGAAAGAATAGAGGGGATTCAATCAGAGAGGAAGTATGCTACAGAGAATCATTTAACAAGATTATTTATTGTCAATTTAATGCAGTGAATTGGCTGCCCAAATGGGAACTAGATTTATTACCTATTCTTGCAGTAGGAGAATACCTAAGATGAACTTCCAATATATGAAAGGTGAATAAGAATTTGTCCCATTGTAGGCCTGGTCCAGGTGCATCTGTACTTGCTTCTTCCTGCAGTTTTCACCTTTTGTATAACTGGATTGAAGATTCCAAGAGGGAAGAACTTGGAATCCATGCACTAGGTAGACAAGGGTTTTGTCAGGTTGAGCTCTTGTCAGACAATGCAGAACAGGGCTCTTTCATGACCTGTTTACTTTGCCAATACTGTTATAAGAACAATTAGGTATTTTCGTCTTTAGGTGAACACAATATGGTTTTGACTAATAAAAATGGAAATAGAGCATTAGGCATATTTAAACACTCAGTTTCTTTAAGCTTGTGGATGGAGGGTAGAGAGATTTGGAATTTTGACAGTATGATCTAAGTATATGCAACTAGGTAAAAAACAACTACAAAAATAAAAAACCAAACAAACAAACCAGTCATTTACATAAACTACTAGTTTTAATTTTATATTTTAAATTTAATTGTGAGTTTAAAATCACAATATGTTTTACTTCTCCCTTTTTGTGCAATAATGGAATTCTTTTTAATGAAAATGAGACTACCATTTGCTGCAGAAGACAAAGTGGACTGTCACAAGAATAGAAGGAAGAATATTTTAAAATATTTAAAAATGCACACACAAATTTACTCTTACCCATTTGGCACTATTGCCTGAAATATTTTAACTTATAAAACAGGCTTTTGGTCTAAGAATCACAAAATCTCCTTTGCAAGTACCCTATGTGCCTGAGCATTTCACATTGCAAAGTAAGAGTAACTGCCATCAATTTCTTTGCTTTTGGTCTTTTGTGGCAACAGCATAAAAAAATTAGGTTCTGATTTTAACTTTTAAATTTTTGAAAATACATTTACTGAAATTTTGTCTTGTTCTCATTTTAAACAAAGAAGGGAATGTCTAAGAGTAATGGATTAAAACAGCTTTCATTCTGAGCCTTAATGCAAGGGAAAAAATATGTCTATAAAAGAAGAAAATAGGAGAAACTAAATGAAAGCAAAAGGTTTCCAAACATTCCATGTGTGTTATCCACATTAAAATGTAGATGTTGTTGCTATTATGTTTGGAATATCACCAAATTTAGACCATGCTGACACAAAACAGAAAGAGAATTTATTTACAGAGATTAAAGGATTAGCAATTTTTAATACTTTGTTATCCTCTTCTCTTGTATTATTTTTATTCTTCTTTTTAATAAATTTATTTATTGATCTATTATTCTTATTTTAATATTGTAACCTAATGATTCTTCTGGTGGAACTGGCGAGTATTAAATACAACCCATTTATTTCTGCTTAATAACTTGGCAATGCCTTGGTGTAAACAATTTTTATATTTGTTTGTACACTAACTTTAAGAATTCTAAGCTGAAAATAAGGAAATTTTGAAATACCAAATCCCTAAGTATGCTTTGAAACAACCTTATTAATAATTTGATTATGGAAATTAACCACAAGCAATAAGCATTTAAAATATCAGGTAATCATTTATGTGTCTTAAGCTGGGAAATGAATCAGAATTCCCCTTATACAAACTTCTAAAGACGTGCTTTTCTTTAACATGAAATATCTTAAACTTTATTACAAACCGAATATTGAATGCCTTTTAGAAATAAACCCTGGAAAAAAGATGTGCATACCTTTAGAAATAATTAAATTAACCCATATTTTTTCAATATTTTCTAATGAAGTTTAAGAGCAGTATTTAAAAATATGTAGTAAGTAATACCTAAGATGTAGGCATCTGTCAAAATTGCAAAAAGTCATTGACTCTTGCTACTATTTTCAAAATGAGGACTGTCACTTATCTGAAATAAATTATTGTAACTGAAATTGTTTTAGAAATATGGTACTACTAGTTAATACATCTTTAATTAACTAAATATTAGCTACTTAGCTTTTTTATTTCTATCATGTAATAAAATGTTATGATATTTTTGTTGGGTGTAATAAAAATACATTTGGGAAAAATTTATATTAAGTATCAACACCAAACACTATTCAAGGTGCTGGTGTTGGAAAAAGAAAAAAAATGTTTGAAGAAGTTTTGTCATCTTGAACTTCAAATCTTAGTGATGTACATAACAATATACAAGTGGATAATTATTAAACTAATATGAAATTAGACAATATAATAAATTTCAGGATGGTAAGTAGGTGGATAAGTGAATGGGCTGGATTTAAAATGTTAAAAATTCTGCAGAACAATATGTGACCAAAAAAAAAAAAAAAATAGAGAAGGGGCCACCAATCATGCCTAGAGAAGAATTAACACCTTGGAGAGGAGAAGCTTCAGGAGCAGATCAGGAAACAGCATTAAATGGAAGATACTAAGGGTTCCTTAAGATTAGATATGCTGACAATAGTAATCATCTGATCAGATTGATGTCCAAGGACACGGACAAAAGAAAAAAGTACTTAAAATTGTTTTGATTCTTCTATTAACCATTATCTTAAAAGGTGTACATGGTTTCATAAATGAACAGTTTAATAGTGACCTATTTTCCTTATTTGGATTTTTCCCCACAAAATATAGGTAGATAAAATAGATTGGAGAATTATTCAGTATGTTTTTTTTTTTTTTCTTCACAAAGGACGAGGACTTCTTTGCTTAATATGAGGCAACAGGTCTTGTCTTCCTTTCCTGCTTTTGCAGTTGTGCAGAAACTCAGTGAACAGCACCAGACCAAAATTTTTCAAGTTACCAGGGCTGCTGCAAAACTGGTAGCCTAATTACCAAAGCGTGCTTCTTCATTCCTTGCCAGAAGCACAGACTTACTGCAGAGGACACGTTAATTATGGGGGAAAGGAAATAATGGGGGAGAAGCATGTCTCCTACTCAGGATGAGACAGATGACGGGGAGGACAGGGAGGCCTAGCTGAGGGCATTCCAGACAGAGAAGAGCTCTGGTGAGGGGTGGGCTCACAGCAGACCCTAATCTTGAAAGTCATTAGAAGCCATCTGAGAAAGTGGGGCATTTAGCCGGTCAAGTTCATCCACTTGGGGTGGGTGGTGCATTAATATCTCCTGGTCCTCCAAGACATCCTCCCCAGCAGCTACCAGATTAGTGAGAGATTTGCTTCGAACACACTGGAAATCCACATGACGACTCTTTCCTTCTTCCTTTTCCCAGGACATCTGTATAAAGGGGCGCTGCACATAATTATAGATAACTTCAGACCGACCACCAGATCTTCTCTTAATTTTTTCTTTACAGGTAGGGTACCCTGCAATCCCAATGCGAATGTTTTTCAGGCCCCGTTCCTTCAACACTGTCTTAGCAACATCTCGATTCTCAATATATTTGAAGAATCTGTAGAGCTTGGAGCTATAAAGAATTTGGGAATATTCTTCCCCCATGGGTGGGGGGTGGTCCTCATCCCAGTCCACAGAATCTTCATCAGTCAGCACAACAATGTGGCACTCCTGCTCCCCTTTCTTGGCACAGCCCACCATGATGGGCAGAATCAATTCTTCGAGGTAGTGCTCAAACTGCTTGTGAGCACCATCATTAGACAGTTCATGCAGAAAAGCACTCAGATCTTGACATCGAATAGTGTTGAAATCAAAGTTAATACAGAGATAATCACATGTATCTCTAAGGTCTGGAATAGAGATGCCATCAGGACAATTGATGATACCAGTTTTATAATAATCCAGCACTGTGCGAAATACAGTTGCACTGATTCCTTCAGCAATCTCATACTCTCCCTTCTCATTGGGCCCAGTGAAGTTGTACTCTCTTCCTGGTCCAAACATCCTTCCCAACATGGTATCCGGATGAGCAGTGAAAATTTGTGGATTCACAACAAAACGTGTGCCATCTACAAGAAGGGTCACTTTCTCTGGTGCCTGGGAATGAGGGTTACTGCCAAAGCCCATACTGCTGTATCCAAATCTTTCTGGAGCAATAAAGGATTCATGGTTCCGTTTATTCCCACTTTGGAAGCAAGAGCCTTTAATGTCTTCATTCCTGGGACCTAGGGGATAAGTAAGATTGTGAAGACCAGGTGAAGCCAGGCTATTTTTTTCTTTTTCTTGAGCTGCATCTGAGGTATCATCCACTAGGCAGCTGGCCTCTGGACGCAACAACCTGTCGCCGTCACTACCACGATGAACATTCATTCTCAGACCCTGTATCCTCAACTGTCTGCTTAATCAGAGAGGAATCTCGTCGCTCCCCGCCGCGCTCCGGCGCTCGGGGCCAGAATCCGCCCGGGAGGCGTGCGCAGGCCGCGCCTCCACCAGCTGCCGCCAGGACAGGCAGTCCAGTATGTTGTTTCATTGGATTATTAATATAGTTTTACTTTCTTTTAGAGAAAGTCTAAGGTTTTCGAATTCATTTATTTTGTAATCTGTATAGATAAGAACTAGGTTAGTATTGTGTTCCTTAGAGTGCATTATGTTTTACATAGTGAAAAAAAAATGCAGCACAAATCATTTTACAGTGGTGCAGAAAATCAACACATGATGGTCAATAGTTGTGACTAACACTTCAGATAGCAATGAGTACCTGAAGCAATATTCATCTAATCCTACCAAACTCTGAGGATTGGATTTATTCCGTTTGTATTCCTGTTACAATTATACCAGACAATTTTTTTCAGGGATTAAACCATCTCCACCTTGAATAAATTTTAATGTTGAAAATACCATAATTAAGAGATATAAAAAATCATAAAGATTCTTTATGAACAAAATTAAATTAAACTGAATCTATTATATAAGAAGACCACATTCATCCCCATGAAGATACTTATAAGTATGTCATAATTGATATGAATACTCACATAGAAGGAAGAGGTGTGAAAGAATCTAGAATCTCCCTTCAATAAAAACTAAAATCAAACTGGGAAAAAAGAAAACAGTAAGACAAAAAATTAAAAGTACACTTAAAAGTCCTATCAGATACAGGGCTCCTGAGACATAATAATCTTCATATAGAGAAAGATTACAGACTTTACTTACAAAGATTAACCATGTGGGGTAATGGTAGCACACAAGAATGCAAAAAATAATCAGTAGTACAATAGTTTTCTACCACCTGAAACTTTCATGTACTTATGTATTTGAATAAAACAACATTTATTATCAAGGACTATGCTAGTTAGAATTTACTAGAACATTTTATAAATGTATAACTCTCTCAGATAAACTAAAAATAATATTTAAATTTAATTACCAAATTTTGATGGATATATTTCATGATTTTTAAAAAAATTTTGTAAGAAAAGCTTGATTTCTCTAATTTTACTTTTTCATATAACATTGGATTTGATTTCTAAAGTTGCCAAAACAAAGTACCACAACTGCTGTGGCTTAAACAACAGAAATCTAATAGTCTGGGTGATGGAAATTCACCATCAAAGTGTTGGAAGACTTGATCCCTTCTGAGAACTCAGAGGGACAATTAGTCCATGTCTCTCCCCTAGTTTCTGTTTTTTTGGGGGTTTTTTGGCATGTTTTGCCCTTTTTCAGCTAGCAGAGCATCCCCCCAACCTCTGCCTTCAAGTTTGCCTTGCATTCTACCTGGACATCTCTACATTTCTCCTTTAATAGAGTTTTCACTCAGAGTGGGTTAGATTCCACCCTAATGATTTCATTTTAATTACATTACTACTGTAAATCCAACTCTAAATAATATTGATTACCTAGATGGGGGAGTTAGGATTTCAACAAATGAATTGTGGGGAAAAACAAATCAACACATAACAATTTACCTTTTAGCTTTGCAAAATTCATGTTCTTCTCATGCCAAATATATTCATTATAATATTTCTAATGATCTTAACTAATTCAAACAACTCTAAATTTATTTAAATTTTTATGTAAATATCATCTCAATCAGTAGGAGTGATATTTAGTATGACTTCTCCTGAGGAAAATTTCTCTTCATCTGTGAAACTGTGAACCAGAAAAATTATCTGATTTCAAAACACAGTGGTGGTATACACATAGATTAAGACATTTCCAATCAAATAAATAAATAAATAAACAAATTAGAATTCCAAATCTCAAAGACCAGGAAAATCTAAGTCTTGAGAGAATTCCAGTTTAGATCTAATATATTCTGTCTCAGGGACACAGCCAGCCCTTTCGAATCTAGATTATGCTCTATATTGTTCATTATTCCTTCCCAGAGGTAACCCTATTCCAGAGGCCCTGCCTTCTACATTCCATGGAGGTGAATCTGCTTCCTATCTGGATCCATGACTCAATCCTCAAAGTCATATTTCCTTCCATTGTTTGTTCTCAAAGCCATTCTTTCTTCAGTAAATATTTTAACTTTATAATAATTTTATAATGCTGATTTTTTTTACAATTTTATTAGTTTATTATAGCTGTGCAAAATAGTCTGGTCTTTTGTTACATATTTATACATGCACACAATACAACAATATAATTTGTTCAGTATCCTTCCCCAGCACTTCCTCCTCCTCCCTCTCCTCTCGTTCCACCCTCATTCCCCATCCTCTACTGATCTCCCTTTGATTTTCATGAAATCTCCACCCTCTCCACCTTTCTTTTCCTTTTTTCTCTCTAGCTTCCATATATAAGAGATAACATACAAACTTGATCTTCTGAATTTGGCTCATTTTGAAAGACCAAGTGCTCTCAAGTTTCATTGATTTTCCTTAAAATGACATAATTTAATTTTTCTTTATGGTTGACTAAAACTGCATTGTGTATATATATATACCATTTTCTTTATCCATTTATCCTTTGATTGAAACCTAGGCTGTTTCCATGGTTTGGCTATTGAGAATGATGTCGCTATAAACATGGATATGCATGAATCAATATAGTATGACTTTAATTTTTTAGGATAAATAATAAGCAGTAGTTTAGCTGGGTCATATGGTTGTTTCATGCCTAGTCTATTTAGAAACCTATACCATCTCTGTATTTGTCCCTCCAGGTGGAATATTTCTGTCATTACAAAACTATCAAAATCTACTTTATCAGAAAGGAGATAAAGTCCTTTTTATGCATATTCATTTTGTTATTTCTATAGTATTAGATATAGTGGCAAAGAGTGCTCAGTAACCAACTGACCTGTTCTTTCATCTTATTCTCAGTCTTCAAATCATGGGTTTTCTCTTACTCTATTGGAAAAAAAAAGTCTTATTCTGCCCCAATATTTACTTACCATTTCTAACTATTTTCTACATATTCATTGCAATTGGATGGTTTAACAAAAATTCTAATATCACAAAGAAACAACATGTTCAAACTTTAATTTACCATTCTGAAGCATTGTTATTTTGAATAATGTTTGTTCTTCTAATAGTCTCCTTCTGTGATTTTGATAATTATTTATCTTCCTTTCAATTCACTGTGTAAAACCCATATCTTGTCTTTATTTCATTTTTTTAACCATCTACTCTTTAGCCTTGACATGTCCCCATATAATTTGGACCAAATAAACCTTTTTTTTTTTTACAATTGCCTTCTACACCTCAATTTATATTTCGATCTTTAAGATCCAATAACTCAAAAGACTGGCTAGATATCTGTCACAGCACAGACTCCAATCTGTTCTCTGTTAAAAACTCCCTTATAATTAATCTTCCTCCTGACCTCTCTTTTACTACTGATGTTATCCAGTGTGACCTGGAAACCATGGGGATTCTTCCAACATTCTTATTTCATAACTTTTAAACCAGCAAGAAAACTCATCCTTAAGAGAAAGTGAGGCACAAATACGTTAAGAAACAAGAGTTTATTTAGGCTTATCAGAGCGGCAACCTGGAAACACTGGTTCAAGTCAACTGGAATATGTGCTCTAGGGTCCTACAGATTTTGAACATTTTTAAAGGCAAAAAAAAAAAAATGTGAGAGAGGAGAGATTGTTGCAGTCACTTCTCAACAGTTCAAATTAGTGTAGGAAGTATAGCAAGCTGTCTTACAGGAAAGGATTGGGTAATGTAAATATATATGTATATATAAAGAAGTTCTCAGAAAGGGAAGGTGGGAGAAGGACAAGAAAAAAGTCATTCCTAGAAAGAAGGGAAGCTTGAGGTGACGCTGGTGGCTATGTACTGGATAGAAATTTCCTAGTAAAATGAAAACAACAGCTCTCAGCACGTAAATTACAGTGTGAAGGGAGTTGTGTGCTTCATTCAGCCTGTCCTGAGAAAAGGATATACAACTACATAGTGCCGTATGTTTATTGCCAGGCAGATGTGACTGAAGAGTGATCTCTCATGTCCTCTCAGCATAGTATTTGAGGTACTTTGACTTTCTGTATATGTTTGATCTTAATTTTTTTCACAATAGTGATAGATTTTTTCTTCATATAATTGGTTATATCTAAAGTTTGCTGTGGGTCCATTAATAAAATGCTAGCGTAAGTTCCTCTTTATTGGCTTATTTTAGTATTCTTCCTACTTTCATGTTCATGATCTGCTTGCCCCAATCCTTCCTACCAGTACCAACAAATCAATTTAGTCAAAAATTATTAGCCAGTTAAAAATTAGGTATGATTCTACTTAAAAGTGCTACTGTGAAAACACGAATAGTATGATTATAAATTCTGTAAAATCAGAGGTTCTTCCTGGGGATTCGGAGTAAATTTCTTGGTGGATCTGGAAATGGAAAATGAGTAGGAGTTCAGTTGGTGGATGAACACTTCTGAAGCACTGGAAAACTGAAGTAAAACTGTATTACGGCATCTAAGCATGCAGAAACTTATTGAGTGGCAGGTGGTTATCAATGCTATAAAGAGAACAAAGCCTAAATTGGAAAATGCCTGAAAATGTTGGAAAGTTGGATGAAAAGGTATTTTATAACTCAGGGTGATAAGTATAATAAAGAATTAGTTTAATAAAATTAACTCAATGCATTCCAAAAGGACACTTTTCAGTTTGAACTCAGACATACAACAAGGTGGAAAGCCATTGACTTATTTTTACAAAAATAAGTAGAAGTAAGATCAATAGGGGGAGGTAGGAAGGGAGAGAAAGAGTAAATCCTGGGGGAAAAAATGGATCAAATTATATTCTATCATGCACAATTGTAGCAAAATGAAGCCCGTTACTCTATATGACTATAATTCACTAATAAAAACATTAAAAAAGAAAATTCATAAATGAAAATTACATTTTTAGATCTATCAAACAAGTGAGGTCACCATTTCTTCAGGAGCTGGAAAGCTAAACACATTCA